TCATTCTTTATAGCTGAGTAGTACTCCATTATATAAAAGTACCACATCTTTTTTAACCTTTCCACATGTGACGGGCATTTTGGTTGTTTCCAAGATCTGGCTATCACAAATTGTGCTGCTATAAATATAGGCACACATATATCACTATGATATGATGCTTTCAGTTCTTCTGGGAAAATTCCCAGTAGGGGGATAGCAGGCTTGAATGGGATTTCCAGTCCTAGTTGAAAATTATTAAAAGATAAACATAGATTCTCCTTACTTTAGCTAGTAGGAGTTCTAGGCTCCAGCATGGGCTTTCAGGCCAGGAAAACAAAAGTAACTTCAGAGTCTTAACTCAACTCAAATAACATGCACAGATTAAGTATGTGGCATAAAGGATCTTAATATTTGATGTGCAGATAGTATTGTAAGCAGCTTAATTAGATAGAAATACCATAGGCAGTCAGATAGGACCAGGCTCTCGAGGAAACAACATGGAAAACAAGATACCTTGCAACTGTGAAAGACACGGATGCTCCCGCTCTGGGCCAGACCTAAAGACCAAAGATTGAACAAATGCCGACCTCCCTAAAGGTAAGCATCCAGGATTGATTGGTTTCCTTGAGGAAGCCAGGAAGAGTCACTAATCCAACCATTACTGACTACTGGATAAAGTCCTGTTCTATATTCTTGCCCGCTTGCTATGTTATTTGCTTCCCCATTTGGTCCTGGATTTAATCATTTTTACCTGAGCAATGGTGCTTGTAACATTATAGTTGAGAAAATGGGAAAATGAGTTCCCATTTTCTCAACTATGGACCCACCTCACAGAATCATTTTACTCTATGGAAGTCCCTAGGAAGAGTAGGTTCTCTGGGCAGCCTGCTCAGGTCCCCCTTCTGTCCCTCTCAGACAGAAGCTTTCTTTCTCAGTAAATATTCTGCTCTTACCCTCCATTTGCTCCTAAAATTCATTTTTCAGTTTTAGAGAACATGAACTCATCCCAGTATCTTTCAGATTGTGAGTTTCATTTCCCTGTATCGACAGTTCACCCTGAAAGTTCTGTTTCCACCTGACCAGTAATTCAAAACTATAGCATTTTTAACTATGGCCCAGCTAGAAGTGAAGCGTCCCCCTCTGCTTCCTTCTGCAGTGAACCTCCCAACACTGCCAACTATTTAAATGTAGACAGGGGCAAAGTAAAGCAGGAAGTTGAAAATTATTAAAGATAAACATATTGTTTTGAAATAATTGGGTAATCATCTTAAATCCACTTTCATTTTACCAGTAAACTACATTGCCAGCAAATTGGAAAATGCATGAGACACAAAGCTTGGCTCCAGATTAAGACTGAGTACTTAGGACCACAGTGTGAGGGCATTTTCACTATCATATGCTCCTTTTTAATATAAGACGTTTATTTAACAATTACTTTTTTGTGTGTGACCTGCTCAGTCTGCCCTGGGGGCGTGGCTGGTGTGGCACGTGGTGCCAGTGACCCAACTGCAAGGATCAAACTGCATAGTGGTAGCGCTGGAACTGCAGTCCCTCCGCTTGCCTAGGTAGGTGCTTTAGACTGCTGAGCTATCTCGCTGGACCCCACAAATACCTTATTAGTGCTGGCAAGCCAGACACATTAACAAACTATCTGCCCCAATTTGAGGAAGCAAAATTTTACCAGATTTTCATGGTTAATGCCCCCTCCAGTCGAAATACAGATATGTCAAGGCCAAATGAAAGTTGTCACCTATAGGCCTGGAGCCATCCCTCCTTTTCCAGACATTTTCACTACCTGAAACACAAACCTGAGGAGTTTTTGCTCTTTTACATTTCACAACTGATGTTGTGATGTTGCTTTTTACCCTAGTAGTACACGAGTCAGACTTTCAGATTATTAAAAAACCAAAAAACAAAACTCCCCTTCCTACCACTTTTGCTGCAACTTTGGTTCTTTCAGCATTTTCTGCCATTAGTATTTAAAAATGGTGTAAGACATTTTCTGGCTCGAATCTTCTGTCTTCCTGCCTCTTTCCAAAATTTCCGTGATAGTTCAAGTTCTGTCTACTTTTCCAGGCCGTCTCAACCCTTAGGAAACCAACAGCTCACTTCTCAAGCCAGTGTACGGTTGGCTTCTGTTAGCTCCTGAGCGCTTCCTTGGCCTGACCCATTTGCTTCGCTTTACGTTTAGGAGCTGAGCATTTTCAAAGCCCAGTGCATCCTGCAAAGCCCCAGGCCTGCGCGAGCCCGGGCGTGCCTAAGCCGCCGTGGGGCGCGCGTCCGCAGCGGGCGGCGGGCAGCGCGGCGCGGTCGGCGCGGGCTTCGCTCGGCCGAGCCACGCTTTCCACGCCCGCAAAGGGCGACGCTAACTCCCACCCTGGAGAAGCGCGCCCCCGGCGGAGGAGCCGGCTCACGGACGCGCCCTCCTCCGACGGGAGAGGCCCGGGGCCGCGCCGAGGAAGGGCTCCTCCAGCCGGTCCCCAGGGAATTTCCCGCGGCTCCCCCGGGTGGCCAGCCCGGCTGAACGCCGTCAAGGGCGGGGACAGCAGCCGCGCTGGCTCCGCGCCGCCCCCTGGGAACCCGGAGAGGTCCCTCAGGTGTCCTCCAAGTCCAAGAAGACACCTTGGCAACGCCCGCTGGCATACCCGCCGAGGTGGGGCGCCCCGGGCCAGCAGGGCCGGGAAGGAGGTCGCAGCG